ACATGAGTTCAGCGAGGCTGAAGGATCTATCGACATACCAAACTCAGTTTTATTTTTATATACTAGCAATGAACAATCTGAAAGAGAATTTAAGGGAATAATTCCATGTGCAACAATATCAAAAACGATAAAATGCTTTGGAATAAAGTTAATGAATTCTGGTTTTGTTTTTATGATTTTTTTAAATGTTTATTTATTTTTGAGAGAGAGGGAGGGAGCGTGTGCAAGTGGGGGGGGGGAGGGAAAGAAAGAGGGGGAGGCAAAATCCCAAGCAGCCTCAGTAATGCCAGCACAGGGCTCAACGTGGGGCTCGAACCCACAAACCGTGAGATCATGACCTGAGCCGGAACCAAGAGTTGGACGTGTAGCTGACTGAGCCACCCAGGTGCCCCTAATAAATACTTTTAATGGTGTGAGACCTGTACACTGAAAACTACAAAATATCACCGAAAGAAATTAAAAACCTAAATATAATGCAAAGACATCCCATGTTCATGGATTGAAAGACTTACTATTGTTAAGATGGTAATGCTCCCCAAATTAATGCATAGATTCAATGCAATCCCTAAAATAAATCCCAGCTGCCTGTTTGTTTGTTTTGCAGAAATGAGATGTTCCACTTCTGGGTGTATACCCCCAAAAATTGAAAGCAAGATCTCAAAGGGATGTTTCCACACCTCGGTTCATAGCAGCATTTCTCACAACAGCTACAACACAGAAGTCATCCGGTATCCACTGATGGAAGAATGAATAAGCAAAATGTGGTGTGTCGATACAATGAAATATGATCCGGCCTTAAAAATGAAGGAAATTCACAGGGGCGCCTGGGTGGCTCAGTCAGTTGAGCATCCGACTTCGGCTCAGGTCATGATCTCACGGTCCGTGAGTTCGAGCCCCGCGTCGGGCTCTGTGCTGACAGGTCGGAGCCTGGAGCCTGCTTCCGATTCTGTGTCTCCCTCTCTCTCTGACCCTCCCCTGTTCATGCTCTGTCTCTCTCTGTCTCAAAAATAAATAAACGTTAAAAAAAAATTTTTTTTAAAAATGAAGGAAATTCTGACATATACAACAGGGATGAACCTTGAGGACACCACGCCGAGTGAAATGAATAAAGCAGTCACAAAAAAACAAACAAACACCATATGATTCCACTTCTATAAGGCACTGGAAGAGTCGAAATCATAAAGCCAGGAAGTAGAACGATGGTTTTCAGAAGCTGGGGGGACAGGGCAAGTGGGGAGTTATTGTTTAATGGGTAGAGAGTTTCCGTTTTACCAGATAAAAAGAATTATGGAAAATACACGGCAGGGACAGTTGCATAACAATTTGCATATATTTAACACCGCTGAACCCTGCACCTAAAATTGGTTAAGACGGTGAACTTTAGGTTAACTATATTGTACTACAATAAAAAAAAAAAAATAGTTAAGCACAGAGTCACCACGTGATCCAACATCCCACTCCTGAGGGGGTGCCTAAGAGAACCGGAAACATGTCCACACAGAAACCTGTCCACAAATGTCCCCAGTAGCATGATTGACAACGGGCGAAAACAGAAACTCAAGTGTCCACCACCTAATGAATGAATAAACAAACAAACGGGCACATCCACACAAGGGAATATCACTCAGCCATAAAAACAAAGGAAGCCCTACAGGGTACAGCATCGACGAACCTTGGAGGCATTGTGCCAAAGGAAAGAAGCCATTTGCCAAAGGCCACCTGTTGTGTGGTCCCATTTATATGAAATACCAAGATCAGGCAAATCCACGGAGATCGGTGGTTGCTATGGCAAGTGGGAAACAACTGCTAATTGGCACAGTTCCTTTCTAGGTAATGACAATGTTCTAAAATTGACCGTGGTGATAGTTTTGTGCAACGTACGTCTTGTGTGCCGCCGTACTATAACCCACGGAACTACTTTTAAAGGAGGACTTGAGAGGCATGTGAATTATTTTTCAACAGAGCTGTTATTAAAAAAAAAAAAGGGGGGGGTGCCTGGGTGGCTCAGTCGGTTAAGCGGCCGACTTCGGCTCAGGTCACGATCTCACGGTCCGTGAGTTCGAGCCCCGCGTCGGGCTCTGTGCTGACAGCCTGGAGCCTGTTTCAGATTCTGTGTCTCCCTCTCTCTCTGCCCCTCCCCCGTTCATGCTCTGTCTCTCTGTCTCAAAAATAAATAAACGTTAAAAAAATAATTAAAAAAAAAAAAAAAAAAAAGACCTGAGCTGAGATCAAGAGCTGGACACTTAACTGACTGAGCCACCCAGGTGCCCCAAAAGCATTCCTTTTAATTAAAGTCAAGAACAATATATAAGGATCCCTGCAATCATTAACAACTCCCTAAAGTACCCAGACCTGTTTTTAGGCACAAAGGAGGCTAGAAATTCTGAGTCACATACCCAAATCCCACCTTCTGAGGAAAGGGACAAGTTGTCCTTTCCTGTGAGCGATCTCTCGGCCAGGAATGTGCCGGAATTATAACCCTGACGATGCCAGGAGGTGGTGCTCTGGCCCCCTCTGATGGGTGAGGCTCAGAGAGGGTAGGGAAGTCGCCCAGGCCACACAGCTCATTGATATACAAAGGGAGAGGCTATCCGGGGCCTCCGTATGAAACAGGTGATGGCAGCAACATTACTGACAGTTCACCATGTGCTGGGCTCCTCTAATCCTCCCCGTGACCCCAGGAAGCAGATACTCTCATCACCCTGCTTTACAGGTGCAGAAACTGAGGGAAATGAAACATCTTGTCCAAGGTCACTCCGCAGACTGAGCATCAGAACCCACGGAGCCCCCCGAAAGTAAGCTCGGCGTTTGTACCAGGTCTGTGTTAAATATTCATGCACGTCACGCATTTTTCTCAATCTGGTTGCATCTGTCTTAATAAGCAAAAACTGCTTGTTCCCTACTCCCAGCAAATCCTCAAATAAACTGACCTTCCAGGGGAACCTGGGTGGCTCAGTCGGTTAAGCATCTGACTCTTGATTTTGGCTCAGGTCACGATCTCATGGTCCGTGAGTTCGAGCCCCGCGTCGGGGCTCTGTGCTGACAGCTCGGAGCCTGGAGCCCGCTTCGGGTTCTGTGTCTCCCTCTCTCTCTGCCCCTCCCCTGCTCAGGCTCTGTCTCTCTCTCTGTCTCAAAAATAAACAAAAACATTGAGAAAAAAAAAAGGATACTGTCACCTCCACTGTCTATGAAGAACTGGACAGAGAAGGCGCGTTCATCTTCAGCCCTCGGGGGGTTTCTTGTCCCCATACTTCCGAATCCCACATCGCTCCCCAAAGCGCCCACTGAGACTTTCACTTCTCCTTCATGTCTTTCCTGGGCACATACTCTGAACCCAACCTTGACCAAAACGCCCAGGGGGACATCTCAGCAGAACCCATAATCCCTCCTCCCAGAGTCCCCACACCTGCCCGGTGGTTTCCCGTATCCAGGCCTCTGCCCACACCAGTCCCTCCACCTGGCATGCCTTCCCCGCCTCCCACATCCTACCTACCCTCAAGCTCATCTTAAAGATCTCCCTCCTCATGCGGCCTTCCCTGAGCCTTTCCTCTCCCACGACGGAAGGGACCAACCCTCCTCCGGGTCTTTTGGGACACACCCCGACCCACTTTGCAACAGAAGCACTCCTGCATATTTTGAAGTCCTCAGGGGCGGGATTCGTACCCGATTGTTCTGAGTCCCCGCACAGAGCAACACCTTGCACGCAGCAGGCAGGCAATAAACATTTCAAGAGTGAATGACTCAAAGAATCACCCCGTGCTCCCACTAACCACAGCCACGAGTGCTCTGGGGGCAGAACTGAGTGGTGAATCACAGAGGAGGAGACACAGCCTTGGGAGCACAGAGGGGGCGCCCTGGTCGGCAGCGTCCTGCGAGGCCAGCCTCATTTTTCATTTGTCCGTCCTCTGCCTCGTGTCCGATCGTGCCACCCCTGTGCCACCTTGCTGCAGTCACCTAGTTTCACGGGCTTTCGGGACAAAGTCTGGCTGTGGGTCTGCTCCTAATCTTCCACGCCTGGTGCTGAGCCACGGCAAGCTGGTGCGCCCCTCCTGCCCTGGAAAGAAAACGTCATCTGGTAGCACCCTGAGCTCAGTGTCAACTTTCCTTCCTTTTTGACCGAAGATGAACAAGTGTTATCTCAGGGTGGGACGTTTCATCTGGAGGATGTCACAGACAGAAGGGACACCTCCTTTCCACTCAGCTTGCCGTGGCTCGCCTAAGGCCTATTACAAATGCAGGTTATCGTATCGACGTGTACCAGGTTTTTCGGGGTGGCCCCGTGTGAGTTCCCGGCCCCGGGAGCCCACGACAGGAGGGGGTAAGGCCCTCTTGACAACCCTCCTCATCCCCCCCGGGGGCCCCCCCCCCACCCGGCCAGGTCTGGCCTGAGCCTCCCACAAGTGATAAGGACAACGGCAAGGCCACACGCGAGGTGACTCCGCCCCTGGCCTGCTCTCAAGCACCCAAGGGAGGGTCCCAAAGACACCTTCTACCCGGTCAGGTGCCATTGGCTTCTTCTCTTCAGCTAGAAAGTGTAATCTCAATAATGACTTCCCGATACAATACAGATGTCACAGGGAGGGGTCACAACCCAGACAGTTTCAGGACCACTTCTGTTTCCAGGTGCCACGGAGGTGGGGAAACGGGAAGCTCTACTTCCCCGAGGGAGTCGGGAGGGCCTTCTCGAAGCGAACGGGCCAGGGGCAGTCGGTTGAAGCCCCGACTCTCGATTTCAGCTCAGGTCCTGATCTCAACGGTGCACGAGATCGAGCCCCACATCAGGCTCTGCACTCGGGATTCTCCGCCTCCCTCTCTCTCCGCCCCGCCCCTGCTTGCTCTCACCCTCAGGATAAATAGATCAACCTAAACAAAAATGTTTTAATGAAAACAAAAAGAGAATAGGCCTACACAGAACAGACTGGCTGAAGACAGAATAGTCACTCCGGTGCAGACACCATGCCTGGCCTCCGCCTGGAACTCACCGGAACCAGAGCACATACCTGGGGCACCTGGTCGATGCGAAACAGCCGGGGGAGCTTCAGGCTCAGCATCTTGAGGCTGTGACAACTGCTCTCTGTCACCTGCTCAAAGTTCTGACATGGCCCGGGGTGCCTCTGGCCAGCAGCCGGTGCCCAGGATGCTCCCCTGAAAGAGGCCAGCGTGAAGAAATCTGGTCAGCCCCCGCCTAACTCCAGCTGGATCAAGACCGTCAGGCTTTGAACCACGGAACAAAAACTTGCCTGTCATGGCAAAATCATCAGGCTTCCTTAAAACCAGCCGCAAAAATATCAGACCGCTGAGTCATTTATTCCAAGAGCGCTGGAGGGAGGTCATTAAATCATAATATGGGCAATCATAACATTGTAGAGCTGGAAGGGCCGTGGAGGCCACCCGGTCCCCTTGTGTTGCACATCAGGGTCAGAGGGGTGGGGTGACTTTCCCAAGGCTGCACGGCGAGGGGAGAGCTGGAAAGGCTGACTCTCCACTGCGTCGGGTGCTGCCCTTGGACGGACAGCGTGATCCCGAGTCTGGGTCCCCCCAGTGGGCAGAGGAAGGCAGGAGTCGGGCCCCGGGTCACCCAAGGAGAAACAGCTCTTCCAGAAGGCTCCCGGGAGCGTGGCTGCCCCATGACACATAAAAGAACCAGACAGGCCAATCGGAGGCACTTGTGGGAGACAGAGCAAGTCCCAGTAACAAGGCCGTTTAAATGCAGGATGAAGGCTGCTTAACAGCTGCGAGTAAGAGAAATCCAGGCCTAAGAAACAGAAGCATCCAAGCTGGGCTTAGCCAAGAAAGGGCGGCGCTAGGAGTTTAGTTAACGCCGCTCCTGCCCCCATTATCGCTGGGTGGAAATCTGCCACCTCCTTAAAGTCCTTCCCCCGAAGGTCCAGAGACCTTTCCTGCACCTCCCTCGTGTGGCACCAACCTCGTCCGCCTGCAAGCAAAGCCACCTGCCCAGGTGTCTGGGGAGGACCCTCCCGGGATGGTTGGCAACTCAGCAGGTACTGCCAGGTCGTCCTGGGCCTTCAGCAAATGCTTCTTTCACACCATTCGTCCCAGCAGTGCCGCTCGCGCTCGGGACGGAAGTGTATTTTGGTTTCTGTAGCTTATACTTTTGCTCCCTACTGTGTAGTCCTTTATGTTCTATGTGTTCTTATCTGGGACTATGGTGCAACATACAATGTATGTTTCATCGTCATAAAGTTGCTTCTTTTCCTTTCTTTTGTTTTTTTTTTTAATGTATCAGTTTTATTATTTTTTAACGTTTATTTATTTTTGAGACGGAGAGAGACAGAGCATGAACGGGGCAGGGTCAGAGAGAGGGAGACACAGAATCTGAAACAGGCTCCAGGCTCTGAGCTGTCAGCACAGAGCCCGATGCGGGGCTCGAACTCACGGACTGCGAGATCATGACCTGAGCCGAAGTCGGCCGCTTAACTGAGCCACCCAGGTGCCCCATGTTGCTTCTTTTTCAAAAACACTGATGTAAGGGGTGCCTGGGTGGCTCAGTCTGTTAAGCACCCACCTTCAGCTCAGGTCATGATCTCACAGTTCGTGAGTTCAAGCCCCGCGACGGGCTCTGTGCTGACAGCTCGGAGCCTGGAGCCTGCTTTGGTTTCTGTGTCTCCCTCTCTTTGTCCCTCCCCCACTCGTGCTCTGTCTCTCAAGAATAAACATTAGGGGCACCTGGGTGGCTCAGTCGGTTGAGCGTCCAACTTCGGCTCAGGTCATGATCTCGCAGTCTGTGGGTTCGAGCCCCGCGTCGGGCTCTGTGCTGACAGCTCAGAGCCTGGAGCCTGCTTCGGATTCTGTGTCTCCCTGTCTCTGCCCCTCCCCCACTCGTGCTCTGTCTCTATCAAAAATAAATATTAAAAAAAATTTTTAAAAAAGAATAAACGTTAAAAAAAACTTTAAAAAAAGAAAGGAAGGCCATTCTGCTCCATGTTTCAATATGAGTGAAACTTGAAAACATCACACCAAAGTAAATAAGCCACTCACAAAAAGACAGATATTGTACAGTTCCCCTCATGCAAGGCACCTAGAGTGAGCCAACTCACACAAAGTGTAGATTAGAGGCCGTGTGGGGAGAGGAATGGGGTATTGTTTAATGGGTACTGAGTTTCCGTTTGGGATGATAGAAAGTTCTGGAAACGGGTAGTGGTGATGGTTGCACAACATTCTGAATGTAATGTCACTGAAATATGCACTTAAAAATGGACAGAACAGTCAGTTTCATGTTGTGCATATTTTACCACAGTAAAAACTTACGTAATGTTTCCACATTACCGAATAATAAAGAAAATGCTTTTTTGAGAAAATAATTTTTTAAAGCACAGGTACATTTTACCCAGGTTTAAAAAATAAAAGTTAATACTTTTTAAGTGTATTTATTTTATTTTTTTATGTTTATTTATTTCGAGAGAGAGAGAGAGATAGCACGAGTGGGGGAGGGGCAGAGAGAGAGAGGGGGACACAGAATCCGAAGCGGGCTCCAGGCTCTGAGCTGTCAGCACAGAGCCCGACGTGGGGCTCGAACTCACAGACCGCGAGACCATGACCGGAGCTGAAGTCGGACGCTCAACTGACTAAGCCACCAGTCGCCCCAGTTTATTTATTTTGAGAAAGAGAGAGAGTGCAAGTGGGGGCGAGGGGCAATCCCAAGCTGTCAGCGCAGAGACTGACCCGGGACTCAATCCCACAAACGGTGAGATCATGACCTGAGCCGAAATCAAGAGTCAGGACGTGTAACTGACAGAGCCACCCAGTCTCCTCTCCCCCCAGATTAGTACTTTGCAAACAACATCGATGCGAGCAGGCCACGGTTCTCTCGGTTTTGCAGGCCTAAATCAACAAGACTCCCACACTCCCGGAAGCACCATGAATTCACCCAGTGGCAGGACACGAACGGAAGGTCCAGTACTGGGGGGACCCCAAGCACACCAGGAAAGCCTCCACAGACCTGCCCATCTCGGTCCTCCAGTTCTCCCTAGAGTAGCCTCAGTGTCACGGGCAAGAAAACGAAAAGAAATGGTCCCTTCCCGCCCAGCACACACCATCCAGGTAGGATGACCAGACTAAACTTCCAACATCGGCAAAAATCATAGTACCGGAATCACCAATTTCTTCCTTCAGTCACCGCTTACTGCACGTAAGTAAGGGGAAGGCTAAATGCCTAGGTGCTTATTCTCCGTCGGCTGTTACAGCCTGAAGGAAAAGCTGAGACTTTAGGGAACATAAAAATCGTATAGGTTTGTGACATGCAGAATAGAGGAGGGTAGGCATCCTCCGTACGTTCTCTTCTTTTACTACACAGGGGAACAAAAAGATTAGTAAGAGAGTCACTGTCCCCAAGAAATGTATAAAGAGAGAGATGAGACGGATAAGCACCCAACTGGCTGGCAAAAGTCGCCCTGAGAAGGAGGGAAACTCTTACCCACTCTGCACCAAGCCCGTGCTGGTCCCCTGCCTCATTTATCCTCACCATGGCCGTCTCAGGAGGCGAGGCAGAGTGGATAAGGGCCTGGGTGGAAAGGAAACCGTTCAAAGGCTCATTCGCCATTTCCTGTGCAACCCTGGGCAAGGAACTTAACTCCTGTGCCTCGGTTTCCCTATCTGTAAAATGGAAGTAACAGTAGCACTTTCTTCATGGGGGTGTCATTATAATTAAAAAAGAGAACTAAGGCACCTGGGTGGCTTAGTCCATTAAGCATCTGACTCTTTTTAAAAAAATTTTTTTTAATGTTTATTTATTTTTGAGACAGAGAGAGGCAGAGCATGAACGGGGGAGGGTCAGAGAGAGAGGGAGACACAGAATCGGAAGCAGGCTCCAGGCTCTGAGCCGTCAGCACAGAGCCGGACGCGGGGCTCGAACTCACGGGCTGTGAGATCGTGACCTGAGCCGAAGTCGGACGCTTAACCGACTGAGCCACCCAGGCGCCCCTCATTTTGTATTTTATAGGCAGGAAAATGGAAGGGTAGAATAGCTATGGGGCTTTCCCAAGATCACACAGCTGGTAGCTGGTAGAACTCGGATTTGAATCAAGGTTATTCGAAGCCTAGGACTTAATTTCCCTTTGCTACTGAGAGACGATGGAAAATAGAGTGTTTATGATGATGTTGATGACCTAGAGGCTGGACGATGGCCATTCCTGTCTGTTGATCAGGTTGAGACAATCTCTCAGGTAAGACTTGACCTTGCTCTTTCAAAAGCGGGAGATTTCTCATGCCATGTTTTTCTGGCAAGGAAATAAGAACTCTTCCGGTAAAACATTGCCATGTTGCACCTGAAACGTAAACTTTTACGTTTGCCGAAAATGGCGAAACATCCCTGGATGGTCACGGGAAGTCCTAAAGCATGGCTGATGCTTCAAATGTTGTGGCCATTGTTAATTACTGCAGATGCAATTGAACAGAAAATGAACTCACTGGTCTCTGGAGCCACTTTCCATCATAAGCCAAGCTCCCAATTTCACCAACACCATAAAAACCAGAACGTAGGGGCGCTTGGGTGGCTCCGTCAGTTGAACGTCTGACTCTTGACTTCGGCTCAGGTCTTGATCTCACAGGCTCAGGTCATGATCTCACAGTTCCTGGATGGAGCCTCGTGTCTGTGCTCAGCATGGAGCCTGATAACGATTCTCTGTCTCCCTCTGCCCCTGTCCCCCACTCACACTCGCTCTAAAAAACTTTTTTAAATTAAAAAAATGAATATATTGAGAGGGACTCTAATACACCTGACCACATTAATAGATTAATGTTAGAGACCGATTGTGTACTAGTTCATTGATATCCCCAGAAGTTCATTGATATCCCCAGAAGCTACACACGTTTTGGACCCTCTTAGAGGGAAAACAGTCCATCGATTTATATTCAGCCATCTTACACGTAGACATATTTGGGAGGTTACAGGTTTGCTGGCTGAGTCCTCAAGGCCTGTGTAGGATGCACAGTATGTAGCATAAAGTTTCCAGGGGGGAAGGACCTTCAGGAATATGGGCGGAGCACTAGCCTGATAGAGATGAGGCAGTCAGGTTCAAATTTCACCTCGCATTAATTTTGTTTGCTCTGGACCTGAGCGGACTAGCCTGAAATCTGATGGTGATCTCGTGATGATTTGCCTTTTTAAAACAAACAGAACAAATAAAAAACAACCAGGGGCACCTGGGTGGCTCAGTCGGTTAAACGTCCGACTTCATTCGGCTCAGGTCATGATCTCACAGTCTGTGAGTTCGAGCCCCGCGTCGGGCTCCGTGCTGACAGCTCGGAGCCTGGAGCCTGCTTTGGATTCTGTGTCTCCCTCTCTCTCTGCCCCTCCCCCGCTCACACTCTGTCTCTCTCTCTCTCTCAAAAATAAAATAAAAACATAAAAATATTTTTAAAAAGCAACCATTTTTTTAAGGGCTGTTTCAGGAAAAGTCGGCAGATCTTTGAGAGTGTGTTATAGCCCGTCCCCCCCTTTTTTAGTTGTTTTAAAACCTTTTAGCTGTGGAACCCTCACGTAAATGAAATCTCACATAGAACACCAATATACTGTCGACATATTGGCAAAACTTGACATTGTGCCTCGATTTCGGAACGATCCGAAGCCTTTTGGTTTTCTTCAATCTTGGTTTTAGGTCTCTGAAGAAAGAGACAACGAACCAAGCTGCTGTTTGAAATACTGGAAATTATATTATTTTTTTTTAAATGTTTATTTAGTTTGAGAGAGACCGAGAGAGAGAGAGAGAGTGGGGAGGGTCAGAAAGAGAGGGAGAGAGAATCCCAAGCAGGCTCCACACCATCAGTGCAGAGCCCCACTTGGGGCTCGTCTCTGGAACCTTGAGATCATGACCTGAGCCGAAGTCAAGAGTCAGACGCTCCACCGACTGAGCCGCCCAGGCGCCCCCCAACGTAATAATTTTAAAATACTGCTTTTCCACTCACATTTCACGGAGGTACGCACATTCAAAGTCTTCGTATGCATCTTCAACGACAGTAGCCTCGTAACTACAGCCACTTTTTGGAATGACTAACACAGCTGACGCGCAAAACCTTCTCATTTCCCTCTGGGTGACTGGAAGTCTGTGCTCTGAGAAGCTGCGTTTCATGCCGCTGCTACAAAATGTATCCTAAATCGGAAGTATTCATTTGCTGGTATTATGCTGCCTGTGATTTGCTTTCAAACGCTTCGCACAGTGTGATATGGAAATGTTAGTTTTAACCCACACCCCTGGGGTGGCGATTAATTAGCATCTTGAACCACTCACACTTCAGAGGCCACACCTTTGGTGCAACTGGGGCTTTTTCCCATCCACCTAAGAGGGTTTGTGACTTAGCGCTAAGGGGTGCTGTTTAATTGGAGAAACGAATGGAATAGAGACCTGGGAGCTGATGAGAGGCACTGCCCAGGTGCCCCCCCTCTTGCACGAGCAAAGACAGCGACAGGTGAGCCCAGTAGGGAGGATTTGGGGGCCAAAAACCGGCAAGAAGTCTGGCTGACGCAGGCCCCCAGACACATTTGCACGAACTTGGCTCACACGTTCAGAAAAGGTGCGCAGAAGTGTTCCTAAAAGGGCAGATTGCTGGGACTTCACCTGCCTGCAGAAACAGGCCATCCTACTGCTTTGCACCCGCTGAAAAATATGCGGATGGCGGCAGAACTCAGCCACAGACTCTCACTGAGCCAGGCCACCTGGCCACGAGGTTGGGGGGGGAATCCCCGGCTCTCAGGTACTTCTAAATACTGATAGAGCCCAAGACCGTATCTCAACACACTCAGACGCTCTCCGCTGGCAGTCACACGACTGTTTTGGGTACTAGTAAGACGGGGAAAAAAATGCTGCCAATCACAATCAGGGGATGACGTCACTGATTGGAAAGGATTCCCGATTTCAGAGCCTGTAAAGAAAACAAGGGGCGCCTGGGTGGCTCAGTCGGTTGAGCAACGGATTTCAGATCAGGCCATGATCTCAGGATTCATGAGCTCCAAGCCCCGTATGGGGCTCTCTTCGGTCAGTGTGGAGCCCACTCTCCCCCACTCTCTCTCTTGCAAAAGTAAACATTTACAACAATACGTAGGAATTGATGACATACAGAAATTATAAATGAGCAATTGGAATGGCTAAGTTTGCAGTGGCTACTCTCTCCATCTTCCTACTCTGCTCTTTAAAGGGATCGTTAAAGTCTCCTTTATAACAAGGGGCACCTGGGTGGCTCGGTCGGTTAAGCGTCAGACTCTCGGTTTCAGCTCAGGTCATGAGCTCACGGTTTCATGAGTTCGAGCCCCACGTCAGGCTCTGCAGTGATAGTGCGGAGCCTGCTGGGGATTCTCTCTCTCTCTCTGCCCCTACCCTGCTCATCTCCATCTCCCTCAAAAATAAGTAAATAGACTTAAAAAAAAATTAAAGTCTCCTTTATAACAAAACCAGTTCTTACAAGTGGGAGACCATGTACCTGGGAATAAATCTCAATCTGTATTACATTGTTTTTCTTCTGCCTCTCTTTCTCTGTCTCTTTGAGTGTGTGTGTCAGGTGCCTTCTGGAAGGATCCCAAACAAGCATGGATGGGGAGAGTTTCAGGTTACAGTGTCTTTCCCAAACAGCCCATACAGCCAGGCCATTGTTCAAAACTAAGGGAATGCAGTGGCCCCGAATATGAAAAGCTCTGGATGGACCCAACTGTTATGCCACTTCCTCTTTTCTGAAAAAAAAAAAAAAAATTATGCTGGAAAACAAAAAACTCATAGTTGGGCATATGTAGCAAAAACAAAGAAGGCTGTTTGGTGGGGAATTTTTCCCATGCTTGCTTTAGAAAACTAGAAACATGAGATCAGGAAGCTCCTGAGAGGTCTCTAATCCAAGTTGCCCCCGGATGCATGAATTTCATCAATGGGATTTTGGACAAGAGGTCCCACACTTGACCCAAAGAAGCAACGTTAACAGAAGGAGTTCAGGTTTCATGAGAAGCCAGTGGGGGAACCTGGAGACAGGACAGGCGTTTTTACCTTTAAAAATGCATGTGAAAATTAGCTTTTTTCGTGTGCATCAAAGGCTACTGTCAACAGAGTGAAAAACAGAATGGGAGAAAATATATAAACCACATATCTGATGAGATTAATATCCAGAATACATAACTCCTACAAGTCAGTAACAACAAAAATAACCCAAGTCAAAAATGGACAAAGGACTTGAATAGACATTTCTCAAAAAAAAAAAAAAAAATACACACACACGCACACACACACACACACACACACACACACATATACATGGCCAATAAGCACATGAAAAGTTCGGCATCACTAGTCCTTAGGGAAATGTAAATCAAAACTACAGTACGATACCATTCCATACCACTAGCGTGACCATGATCAAAAACAACAAGTGTTGACAAGGATGTAGAGAAACAGGAACCTGGGCACATTGCTGGCGGGGAATGTAAGACGGGGCAACCACTATGGAAAACAATATGGCGGCTCCTCAGAAAATTAACCAGAGAATTACTAGATGATCCAGAAATCCCACTGTTGGGCATATACCCAAAGGAGTTAAAAGCAGGGACCAAACAGATAGCTGTACCCCCCCCCCCGTTCCGAACAGCAGGATTCACAACACCCGAAAGGTGGAAGGAACCCGAGCGTCCGTCAGCAAATGAATGAACCCAGTGTGGGACATGCGTGCAACAGGATTATTACTCAGCCTTAAAAAGGAATAAAATTCTGGCACATGCCACCACGTGGAGGAACCCTGAAAACACTATGCTAAGTGAATAAGCTAGATTAAAAAAGAGCAAATACCATATGATTCCACTTAGACACGGTACCTAGAATAGGCAAATTTATAGAGGCAGAAGATAAAATCGAGGTTGCCAGGAGCTGGAGAGAGAAGTAAATGGGAAGTTGTTGTTTAATGGGTACAGAGTTTCTGTTTGGGATGTTGAGAACGTTCTGGAAATGGATAGTGATGATGCGTGCACAACATCGTGAATATAAATAATGTTACTGAACTTTACGCTTAAAAATGGTTAAAATGGCAAATTTTATGTCATGCATATTTTACCTCAATAAAAAAAGTACCTATAAGAAAACATGTGTGGGGGCTCCTGGGTGGCTCAGTTGGTTGGGTGTCTGCCTTCAGCTCAGGTCATGATCTCACAGTTCATGGGTTCGAGCCCCGCGTCGGGCTCTGTGCTGACAGCTCAGAGCCTGGAGCCTGTTTCGGATTCTGTGTCTCCCTCTGTCTCTGCCCCTCCCCTGTTCACGCTCTGCCTCTCTCTCAAAAATAAATAAAACATTAAAAAAAAAAAACCTTTTTTAAATAGATAAAAGAAAACGTGAGAATCACTTAACTATGTTTGTATTAATATAACATTTTACTTTCTCCAAATCTTCCAGAAAAATATAAATCACAAATATACACACTTTGGCTTAGCCCATTCAGGCTGCTCAACAAAATCCCACAGAGTAGAGGGTTTATAAACCACAAACATTTATCGCCCACAGTTCTGGAGGCTGGAAGTCCAAGATCAGGGTGCCAGCATTTCAGGGTCATGGTGAAGGCCCTCTTCTGGGTGCAGAGTTCTTGCTGTGTCCTCACATGGGGGGAGGGGCAAGGAAGCCATCTCAGGCCGCTTTCATAAGGCCACTAATCGCATTCGTGATGGCTCCAAGCCTCCTTCCCTTCCCTCCGGAGACTTGCGCTCGCTCCTACTAGGGATTCGAGCATCCAGACAGTTTGCCCTCAACTCTCCTCCTTGCTGAGACACCTCCTCTCCCCTCCCTGCAGCCACTGAAACTTGAGATTTGCCCAGGTCTCTGTCCCTTGCCATATGCTTGCTCTCCCCGTTATCAACTGCGCCCAAAGCCTGTTCCCTGGAAGCCCCGGACCCAGCACACATCCAAGCACGGAGCCAATTCCAAAGCACTCAAGGCCTGTCCTTGAGGATGCAGACTTCTAGGCTTTCAGACTTCTCTGAGTGCCTCAAGGACTTCATCATCTGATAGGAGAGAAGTGTGACAGCACACTGTCCCTGTCCAGGGATAGGCAGGTCCAGAGCTCAGAGAGGTAAGAGCTGCCTGCAGGGTGGGGAGGAGAAAATGAACAGGGGGCGTGTCATGGGAGGGAAGTGTGGAAAGTAGAGGGTCTGGGCTTCCAAAGTGTTTCAAAAACAAGAAGCATGGAAAAAAAAAAAAAAAACAAAAAACTGGCATGATCCTGCCATGGTGGATACATCAACATTATATCCTCGCCGAAGCACACAGAATGTACCAGAGTGAACCCTGATGTAACTACGGGCATTAGTTAATGATGTATCAGTGTTGGGTCATCAGTTGTAACAAATGTACCACACCAACGCAAGCTATTCATAATAGGGGAAAGGGGTAGGACGGAAGGGGGCATCGGGAATGCTTTCTACATCCTACATAATTTTTCCAGAAACCTAACACTGCTGTAAAAAAGAATCGGGTCTATCAAGAAAAACAAACATAGGCCAACATTTAAAAAATCAAGGGATGTCATATAGAAACCTGGACTCCGGTTTCTCTTGGCAAATCTGAAGGTCAAGTTCACCCATGGCTACAACTGGCTGTTCCTTTCCTCTGGGTAAATGGAGGTAAGCCCTGTCAGGCTCACAGCAGCCGGCTCACCCCTGCCAGGCCTGGCCGGAGATGTGCAGTTTGGGTTCTGGGGATCAAGGTCAGGTGTCTGATCACAGCGAGCCCCGGTCTCAAAGCGGCATCTCCTAAGGGCTGGGAAATAGTGACACCCATGAAGGAGGGGAGTAAGACCAGGACAGATTTCAGACTTGCACAGATTTGCAGTTTTAAAAATTTTTAGGTTTTTTTTAATGTTTATTTCTTTTTGAGAGGGAGAGAGGGAGAGCAGGGGAGGGGCAGAGAGAGAGGGAGGGAGACACAGAATCCGAGGCAGGCTCCAGGCTCTGAGCTGTCAGCACAGAGTATGACATGGGCCTCAAACTCACCAACCGCAAGACCATGACCTGAGCTGAAGTCAGATGCCTAACTGACTGAGCCACCCAGGCGCCCCTGTAGTTTTAAAAGTACGTGACCATGTCCTGGAGGAGAAATCAAGGCTACAGATAGATTTAGGAGGCAGAGAGAAGTGACCTTCAAAGGTCCCCTCGAGGGAGAAGAGCAGACAGAAGACCCAAGGGACAAGAAAAAGTCAGGCACTGATAAAGCAAAGCTGACACAGTTGGGAGGGCAGGAGCCATGATCCAGAAGATTCTCCCAGTACCTCGGTTTCTCTGGCAGGGCAAGGCAAGAACTGTGAGAGAAAGGGGTGAGCCGGTCTGGAGGAGGGCAAAGGCTGGGGGGGCCAGTGCTGCGGGGCAATGTGGGGGAACCAGCCAGGTGAGAGGCGGGGCAGCCCGGAGCAGCTGCTGGTAGCGTGTTCATCCAAGACGCCGGGTTAAAATCATCCCTGTGTTCTCCCTGGGGACAGCTGCCCAGGGCAGGGGGCAGAAATGGAGAGTGGACAGGAAGACGCTCAGTCCTTGACTCATTCATTCAGCACCCATTACTGAACACCCACGATGTGTCTGAGGCTACCGTAGGAAACGGGGGGGGGGGAACCCTCTCATCCCTTAGCTCACATTCTCAGTGCAGGAGATCAGCACTGACAAGTGATACAAACACAGCAGACGCTTCTGGGGAGCACGGAGGAGGGGTGCCACACCAGGGAGTCAGGCAAGACTTCCTGAAAGCACGAGGTCGGAGCCAAGTCTCGAAGAATCAACAAGAGTGCCGCCGCCACGGAGGACAGAGACCGCTCTACACTGCGGGTGCAGGGGCGCCTGGGTGGCTCGGTCCCACTTCGGTTTGGGAGTTCGAGCCCCGCGTCGGGCTCTGTGCAGACCGCTCAGAGCCTGGAGCCTGCTTCAGATTCTTTGTCTCCCTCTCTCTCTGCCCCTCCCCCTCTTGCACTCTGTCTCTCTCTCTCTCTCTCTCTCAAAAATAAAATAAAATAAATATTAAAACAATTAAGCAAATATACTGAGGGTGCAGCAGGGGCCCAGGCGGAGTGCACACGCGGGGAGCTGTCCACAGTTCAGCATGGAGGTGGTGGGGGGTACCAGGTGGGAAGTGCCCAGGACAGAGCCCACAGAAGAGCCCAGAGGAAGGCTCAGCGCGCGCCCTCTGAATGCCGTGGGAATGAACGCACCAGGTGGTGGGGAGTCGGGACTGGGGGTCTCAGGGATGGTGGCCGGGGAGAGGCTGGTATGGTCCTGAGCGGTGGCTGCAGGACACTTCCAAATCCTGGCTCCATCGTTTACCGTGTGCCCCTTGGCGGTCACCTAACCTCGGCCACTTGAATTTTCTTATCAGCTAAATGAGGATAATACAAGTATCAATGGCTCTTGCAGGGATGAAAAACCATGGTATCTCCCAGATAACAGGCACTCAATAAAAAGTGGCTCTTATCACCACGGCGCCCTAGACCATCTCGGCTCTGCACTAACACTCATGCCCCCTCTGCCCTGGGGGTATAATTTTGCTTGAAAAATAGACTGTTTCCTTTTCAGCTCTGACCCACCTCCCCGGCTGGAGGTGTAGCTCATGGGCCCTCCATGAGCGGGG